GCTCAGCACTCCAAGGCTCAGCACCCCCACAAGCAGCACCCCGAGCAGGACCTGAGTCACCAGTGACCTCAACCGGCGCAGTCAAGGGAGGAGGTTCTACCTGAGACACACCTGAAGGAGCAGGACCGGGAGCGGGGAGGGGGTCTACCTGGGTAGCATCTGGAGCGAGGAAGAGCGGCGGGGGGGGAGAGGCGCAGTGCGGTAGGGGAAGAGACGGTAAAAGGGAACTGACTCGTCGAACGTGACGTCCTGAGAGGGGAAGACACAGCGCAAGGTGGGGTGGTAAAACTGCCAACCAGGCGCGTCAGGGACAAAGCCAAGGAAGACACAAGGAACAGCGCGGGCGGAGAGCTTGTCCGCGGTGGTATCGCGGACAAAGGCACGAGCACCCCAGACCCGGAAACGCGACGCATCGCCAACCTTCCCCGTCCACAGCAGCGTGGGCGAGGTCTTCGGCAAGGAGACACGGGGCCAGAGGTTGAGCTGATGCGCGGCATACCGGACCACAAACGGCCACAGAATGGCGAGCAGCCACATGGACCATGGAGGTGCGAGCGACCTCCATGACTAAGCCAATGCGGCGCTCAGTAACCCCATTCTGCTGCGGAGAGGCCGGAAGCGTGAACGTCTGGCGGATGCCGTGCTCCGCACAGAAGGCTGCCAAGAGGTCGGAGGAAAACTCCCCACCTCTGTCAGAGTGCAGACGCAGGACGGGAAACTCCGTCCCGAACCGCTCGCGGAGCTGGAGACGAGCAGCCCGGATCCAAGGGATCAAAACATCAGGGACCTCACCCTTGGTGCGCAAGGGGAAGACTGTGGTGTAACGCGTGTAGTCGTCGACGACCAGCAGGAAATACCTCTCGTGGCCCTGTCCACGGACGCGGGCTGGGCCCCACACGTCCAGGTGGAGAGTCTGCAGGGGAGCCTCTGTGGGAGGGAACGAGGAGGAGTGAGGAGCGGCGCGCTGCCGCCCCTCAACACAGGGAAGACAGGGAGGAGTAGGTGAGGTTGGGAGGGGAGGGAGAGCCTGGGGAAGACCAGAGACAAGGACACGTTCGTCTCCGTAGTCGCTCCGTTGGTACCTCGCCACTGCACTCTCATTGTCGACTCCCTCTCTCCCCACAACAGCTGCTTGAGTGGTACGTTACCCGTCAGGGATGCGCTGCTCGAGCTAGGGGCCCTGCTGAGGGAGGCGCTGGAGCTGGTGACTATACTACTGGAGTTGTTTCTGCTGGAGGTTCTGGAGCTGCTGAGGGTGCTGGAGCTGGAGGTTCTGGAGCTGCTGCAGGTGTTGGCGCTAGAGGTTCTGGAGGTGCTGCGGGTGCTAGCGCTAGAGGTTCTGGAGGTGCTGCGGGTGCTGGCGTTGAGGGTTCTGAGTCTGCTGTTACGCGGTCTCCTTGGAGTAGCTGCCTTCGTCCGCGTATGCCTCTCACCTCATAGCAGCTGCACGAGTGGTACGGTCTCAGCAGGCGCAGTACCAGAGAGAGCAGACTTACCAGCTTCTGGAGCAGCAGCCTCACCAGCACCTACCTCACCAACCTCACCAGCACCTGGAGCAGCAGCCTCACCAGCACCTGGAGCAGCAGCCTCACCCTAAACCCTGAACGGTTTTCAGAGACCCTCGACTCTGGGCGTACCACTCATGAAGCTGCTGGGGCGTGAGAGACTCGCGCGGACGTTGCTGGAGCTGCATCTGGCCACCGCCAGTAGCAGCAGTAGCAGGAGTAGCAGCAGTAGCAGCAGTAACAGCAGTAGCAGCAGCACTGGTAGTAGCAGCAGTAGCAGCAGTTGTAGCACGGCCACCCCTATAACCCCAACCAACGTACCACTCACAAAGTTGCTGGGGCGTGAGGGACTCACGTGGACGTCGCTTGAGCTACATCTGGCCACCGCCAGTAGCAGCAGCAGCACGGGCAGGGCAGGCGCGGCAGGCAGGCAGGCCGGCAGGTAGGCAGGCACGCATACAGGCAGGCAGGCAGGCAGGCAGGCAGGCAGGCTGAGGGCGCGGCAGTGCGCGAACAAGGCAGGTGCTCACCAGTGGTGGGAAGGGCCGGCGTCGGCGGGCGGCTGCACGGGGTCCAAGGGCGGCGTCACGGGGTCCAGGGGCGGCTGCACCAGGGGCGGCTGCTGTAGGAGCCAGGGGCGGTTGCTCTGGGTCCAGGGGCGACTACATCAGGGGCGGCTTCTGTAGGAGCCAGGGGCGGCTGCTCTGGGTCCAGGGGCGGCTGCAGGGGCCAGGGGCGGCTGCTCTGGGTCGAGGGGCAGCTGCTCGAGGGTCCAGGGGCGGCTGCACCAGGAGCGGCTGCTGTAGGAGCCAAGGGCGGCTGCTATGTGTCCAGGGGCGGCTGCACCAGGGGCGGCTGCTGTAGGAGCCAGGGGCGGCTGCTCTGGGTCCAGGGGCGGCTGCACCAGGGGCGGCTGCTGTAGGAGCCAGGGGCGGCTGCTCTGGATCCAGGGGCGGCAGCTGCAGGGGCCAGGGGCGGCTACTCTGGGTCGAGGGGCAGCTGCTCGAGGGTCCAGGGGCAGCGTCACTGGGTCCAGGGGCGGCTGCACCTGGGGCGGCTGCTGTAGGAGCCAGGGGCGGCTGCTGTAGGAGCTAGGGGCGGCTATTTGAGGGTCCAGGGGCGGCTGCACCAGGGGCGGCTGCTGTAGGAGCCAGGGGCGGCTGCTGCAGGGGCCAGGGGCGGCTGCTGCAGGGGCCAGGGGCGGCTGCTCTGGGTCCGGGGGCGGCTGCTTCAGGGTCCAGGGGCGGCTGCTCCAGGGGCGGCTGCTTAAGTGGCGCTCGCCTACGTAAGGCAGGCAGGGCACACGCTGCTGCAGCTGCTGCGCACGGCTCCGGGCTGCGCGCGGTTGCTGGCTGCGCGTGGCGACGAGCTGCATGCCGCTGTGGGCTGCGCGCGGCTGCTGCCTGTGCTTGGCGACAGGCTGCGCGTGGCTACGGGCTGCATGCGGCGGAGGGCCGCACGGGCGGGGCCTAAGCGGCTGGGCGCGGGCGATTTAAGCGGCGCGCGGGACGGCAGTAGGCGGCGCGGGCGGCTAACATGGCGCGCGGGGCCGAAAACGGGCTGCGCGCGGGCTATTTAAGTGGCGCGTGGGGGAAAAAAAGTGGCCGCGCGCGTGCAGCCAAGGCGCCCGCGGGTGGCAGGCAAGGCAGGCAAGTCGTAGGTGAGGTAAAGTGATGAACGGTGGGCCCTAAACTTAGGTCCTAAAGACCAATGCTCTAGATACCATCTTAGAAGCTAGGCATGGGTGAGTTGCACTATTGAGAGAATTGAGTACAAGGGAAAACCCTTAGGGGTTATACCCCACATAATCTACCCCACTATAGCCTACCCACAAATATGATACAAACATATGTTTGACATGATGTTGCGCAGTAGAATTGTGTACGCCATCATAGACTGATATGTGTGCTGCTGCTTATCATGTTGCGTCCCGTGTGTTGGGTATGGCAGGGACATGTCGAAGAATCCAAGGATTTGCGCGCCTTCCATCATCAGCTCGAACTCGAATGACCAGGTAAAGAAATCTTTACCGTCGAATGGCCTTGACGTTTGCAGTTTTAGGACGTGTGCAAACTGTGACTAAACTTGAAGTGCATCCAATGTCCTTTCTTGCTTAGGTGAAGGCTGCTGGTGCGGCATGAAGCTGACGGAACCACGCTGGAGTTCGTACGGGGCGAAGGTAGGTTGCTGTTGCTGATTTCCTCGCGCGTAGGATGAACCGTCGAGGTTCATCGGTGTCAGATCGTTGTTGTTGTTGCTGTTGTTTGACTGCGCAGGTGCCCCTTGATGGTGTTGTTCGTAGAAGGACATGAAGGAGAAGAACTTCTCCACCATGCTTGGGTCGAAGCCCGCGGCTTTATTTGCGGGGGTTTCAAAGGACCCAGCTGCTGGTCTTGTTGCCGCGCCCTCCTCTGTTTGTAGGCCAGAGGCAGGAGGTGGGGTAGGAGTAGTGCCGGGAGAACCGTTAGAGGGACTTCTTTCCTTTTGTGTTGCCATGCCTTCTGTTTTTGTAGGTGTCTTGATAGTGGTTGAGTTTGCCCTGATAGCTCTCATACCATGTTGGGCTGAGAAAAGCCCTTAGGATCTTTGCAGAGCTAAACTCTGGGTAGGAACAATGTAATAGCGGAAGCGTTTAATGATAAGTCCTTGAACCTCCTTGCGCTGGTATGTGAGGGCAAAGTAGATTGATTAAAACCAAGAGATACAAGGCTTTTATAATAGTACAAGGAATATGAAGAGATACAACCAATAACTGTTTTACTTTTGATGTTGCGGTTCGATATAGTGACGACTCTTGCAACTGCTCAATAACGAGTCAGTTGTTTGTCCTTGCTGTCGCGCTGTATTTGTTAGGTCAAAGGTCGCTGACCTTTGACTTTCGCGTAACCTCCAGCGGTTTCTTCACTTCTTAAATGTTAGAATAGTAGCTAGGAGGTAGGGCTTGGGAAGAGAGATAGTTGGCCAAAGGAGAGCGGTTGCACTATAGAATGCAATACAACTTGTAGGAAACGAGGAAGGTGGTCAAGGGAGGTAGACCACCTAAGACAAGATAGGTGATACTACACTAACTAAACATGCAATTATATAAAAATATTACATTCTGACATTAACCTCCAAGTGTTGACTCGCCAATGTTTCGCTGTGTTTCGCCTCGTTTATGACTTAGTGTTTCGACGCACCACAGAGGCGCTTAAATTACTTGTTTCCAACAACCATGAACTTGCTACTAGGATAGGACAATATTGGATAACTAAATTCCTGGAATAAGTCTACAAGAACTGATAAGGCCTGCCTTAAGCATCAAAACAAGCATGCAAGCTGTTCAGTATTACAATAAACCTTATCAGAAGGGTGGCAAACTGCATGTGTTTGCACCCCAAGTTAGGGAAAAATCCTAAAGCGAACTAAGAGTCCTTATCCACAGAACCAGTATAGTTGTCATATACCCCAGTAGTACCATCACTCAGAGCACGGAATAACCAGCCGCAATCGCAATCACACCTCCACTCCACGTGCACTCACGGCTGGCGAAGAGTGAGAGTGAGAGCATGGTGTGGCGTGTGGCACACATGCTGAACCCTCCGCACTCACCCCACCTGCACCTGAAGCCAACAGAGTTGACTGTGCAGGGGTGCTGGGAGGAGCTGTGCCCTGGTACTCAGGCACGTGGGCTCTGGATGATGTTGGAATCATGTCACGTGCTTCAGGAGCGGGCAGTGCAGCAGCAGTGTCAACGTCAGGATCCATGTATGCGGCTATCTGGCGATGGAAGGAATCAACCTGCCGCGGCAAAGCAGGTGCAAGTACATGCGCAGCATGAGGAAGTGAGAAGGAATGTACAGGCACGAGGGTTCTTCACATGCTCGCTACCAAGTGTGGAGGCATGATACTTGGAGAGAGGGACAGTGAGGGAGCGGAGAGCGTCACCTGTGAGTTGAGCGTATTGAAGAGCACGGTCACATGCGCCAGCCTCTGCCTGTGCAGCTCCTGGCACCGCTCATCCTCTCCCCGCACTTGCTCCAGCTGCACGCACCACAACAGCATGGAGAGATACAGATCAGACATCAGACGCATGAGGACACAGCAAGCGTGGAAGGTTGGTGCCATGGCAAAGAGTATGACGGGCGTAGGGCAGGATGAGGGTGAGAGCATGAGACCCACCTGGCCGTGCACCTCTGCCTTGGCAGCGAGGAAGAGCTCCTCCTCCTCTGCCAGGCCCTGCTCCAACACAAGCACGTCCTCCTGCTTCCTCCGCACCTCCGCCATCTGCTGCTCTATGGCTGCCCTGCGCGCTGCCACCTTCGCCTTCCACTCCGCCTCTGATCACAGCGCGCACGGCGATACACAGAAACCACGCTGAAGCAGTGACAGATGTAGAGACATAACAGCAGTTGCCATGGTGAACAGCAGCAGCGCACACAGCAGCCGCAGGTTGGAATCTCAACTGCTCCCAGGGAGCCGAGAACCACCACACACACATGTAACGCCAAGCCAAACCCACGCCATGCATGCCAGAAACCAGCACGGCCTCTCACCCTTCACGGCCTCCCCCTCACCTTTGGCCTTCTCCTTGCTGACCCTCTCCTCCGCTGCTGCCTGCAGCTGCCTTGCTGCTGCTCCTTGTGCCTGCCGTGCAGCCACCTGCCGTTTCAACTCGCGCGCTGCTGCTGCCTGCACAGCGAGTTTGACGTGCGCACGCAACAACAGGAGGTGAGATGGGCCAGGTGCACGATCACGTCGGTGCCCGGCAGAACATGGTCGTTCATGGCGTGTATCAGAATGAGAACGAGAACAGGAGATCATGCTTATGGTGGGAGGTGGGTGAAGTGCTGACCTCTTGATCCGCTTGCTTGACCTGCTGCAGCCGGCTCTGAAGCTCCGCCAGGGCCTGAACGGGCATACACGCCAAGGAACGGGCGAGTGTGTGTGCGTGTGTGTGTGGGGGGGTGGGGGGGGGAGGGGAGGTGGGGGGGGCGGGTGGATGGGTGGGTGCAAGTGTGTGTGTATGTGTGTGTGTGCGCGTGCGCGCGCGTGAGAGAGAAACCGAGAGAGAGAACGAAAGGGTGAGAAAGGAGGGGAAAGGAGAGAAGAGAGAGAGCAGGGGAGGGGAGAAGGTGCAATGGAGAAGAGGAAGGCAGACATGGGCATGGGCATGGGCATGGGCATGGGTATGGACAAGGGCATGGGTATGGACAAGGGCATGTGTATGGGCATTAACGAGCGAGAGGATGTCTCAAGTGTGCTCACCTTTCTGACGACCACCAGCTTCTTGCGGTTCTCCCGCATCTGCACCAGCACCGCATCCCTTGCCTCCTTTTCGCTCTCCATCGCTTCCTCTGCGCGTGTCACTGCTAACTGGACGCACACGTACACACGCGCGTGCACACGCCACCAGATATAAGCGGGCAGAGCGAGAATTGAAAGCTCAGAAGATAGGCTGACGTGGACGTGAGCAGGAAGACGCAGCAGCACGTGAGCAGGATAGAGCACATAAACAGAAGGACTCACTCTGACTTTATCCGGCGACTCCACTATCTGTGCCCGCAAACTCATCTCCTCCTCCTTCATCTTCGCCGCCTGCTGCTTCTCCGCCGCTATCTGCACACACACAACACCACATCGCACCGCATCGCACCACACCACAGCATGCGCCAGAGCCATCACAAGTGAGCGCGCGCTTAGCACCGCCCTCCCAGAAGCACGCACATGGAGGGAAGGAGCTTCACAGAGAAGGAGGGCTGCAGTTACACGAGAGACGCATGCACAGCTCACAACGGCCACAGCCAGCCCTACATACAACCCTGCTTGCCTCATCCATGAGTTTCGCCATAGCCTCCCTCCGCCCCGCCAGCTGCTCTTGCTCCGCGGCCTCTTCCCCCTGCGCCCGCTGCAGCTCCTTCTCCATCACTGCCACCTCCTCCGCCACCTCCGCCACTTCCGCGTCCTCGTCGCGCTGCCGCTCCTCCAGACATTGCAGCTCGCTAGACAGCTGCGGGACGACAAGGGAGGGCGCAGGCAGCACGGCATGGCGCGACGGTGAGCACAGGGAACGGGGTACACGGGGCACAGGGTCACGCGGAAAAGCGCTCGAGGTGGATGGATACGCGAACGTGGTGTGGCGTGGGATGAGCTGGTGGACAGCCAGAAACGCGATGATGCAATGGGCATACATTCAAGAGAAGGAAGAGGGACGCGTAGCATCATACCGATAGTTCTTCGTCTTCGAGCTTGGCGTGCGTCTCAACGACCTGCGCGTATTCCTCCAGGCATTGCGCCTCCACGGAAAAGAACTGGTCCCTGCAACGATAGCCATACAACCACCGCACGCATGCTTATTGCGGACACAGAGACACTGCTTTCGATTGTATGACGACGCCGGCGCTCAGACATACATACTTAGACCGTCGCCTGATGCACCTACTAAGAAGCTACGCATGATGCTGAACAGATGGGGAGGCTTCCGGTACGCCACTACGCATAGGGTTTCAGATGCCGTGCATGCGGACGCACCCGAAGCGCTTGTAGTTGGCGAGAGCGGAGAGCAGCTTCTGTGTGCGTTCGGGATCCGGCCGGATGAGGTCGCGCATCGCGAACCACTCGACGCCGGTCGCCGCGAAGAGCTCTCGGAGCGACTGGAAGAGAAGGAGAGTACTGGCGGCATCTACGTGCAACTCAGGGAAGTCCAGGTTCCGCTCCGCTTCCTCCTCATTCATGCACGCGCCGTCGCTAGGGAGGACGGCTCTAGAGGAGAACATGGAGCAGATGTGAGACGGGATGAAGGGGAGGCGCCGGGCCAGTGGGAATGAGGCGAAAGACATGGGAAAAACCGATAAAACGCGTCGGTGGACTTGCTATAGTCATAGCTAAATGAATAGCTGCTTGCGCTCAATTTCTATCACCTACCGGCCGACTAGTACGCGAATTGCCGCGTCGTAGAAGAGGCGCATAACTTCTGGCGTGGGCTTGGCGATGTCACGCTCCGTCAGCTTGTAGATCGGATCCAGACATTGCTGTAGCTGCTTCGCGTCCAGCATAGGCGATGAAAACTGTACCATGGCGGCGTGATTGTAAGAAACCAGGAGAGTTCTTTAATTCACTGGTTCGTAGAATCCTGTTCAAGCGTCGATTAAGTCTTGCCAAACGTCCTTGTTGACAAGTTGTGTGCAAGTATACCAGGCGATGTCGCGTCCAAGTAACGAACCTTCAATCCACAACGCAATAAGCTACGCAATGAGTGGGGCCTCTAGGGTTCTCGAATCCTCAAAAGGTCGATAGCATTCAGGCTGGAGTTCTCGAGGTGCTCGGAGTTGTCCATGGAGAATCGACGTGGCACTGGTGTGGTCTGGTCGTGCGTGTAGCAGGTGCGAGTGGCTTCACGCATACGCTTGACGGGCTCCTGGCGGTGGCAGGGGTGGTAGGTGTGGCAGTGGTTTGGCGGGAACTTTCAAGGTTTGGCGCCAGATTGTATTCAACTTCTGACCAGTCGCGAGTGCTGGAGCCTCTGACAGGTGGGGATTCATCGAGTCATCAACCTGGGACAATAACGAACGAGGATAGAGGATGATACACCCTTCTTAAGGTATGAAGGTAAAGCAAAATCCAGCCACCTCTTGTAAAGATGTATGAATGGGATATGGAACAACCGCAATAACTCGGATATATTAATACGAAATAATGAAACATTATCATTATTATACCACTGTTTGCATCATCGAAATCGAATATTGTTTAAGGTACATGGCCACTTTCTTCATGCTGAGTGCAATGAAAGGAATTCACAGGTTACGTGAACCTAAACCAGATAAGGTATGTCTTTCTTCGGCAAAGCAGACGGAGCAGCACATTATTCAATTCTTACATTCACGCCTAAATGGTTTTCAGTGTTGCCAGATCTTGCCGCATCTGCTCTTCCATCGTGGCTGCTTGTTCCTGCAGCATCGTCACAAGAAATGCTCTTTCAGAACCACTTGCTACCGGGAAAAAAGGCCATGGTGTCATCAGGATGGCATGAAATCGACAGGTAGTCACGCCTCATCTAATGATGTCAAACAATGGAGAATTTTTGTACCTCTAGACGGCAAAGCCGCCACTCCATCTGTTGTTGCAGCATGTCACGCACGGTGGATCCGTGATGAGGGGAAGGCCGTATGTGCACGCGGACGATCGTAAACGGGCCGAACCGAATTTCATCTCCATCAGACAGAGGACGCTCACGACCTGCAGCAGGAAAAGCGTGGAACGAGAGAGAAACCAGACGTGCCGCGTGGCGGGAAATGAACAATATATATTACAGGCACAACCCATGAAATCCGTAATCGCAAATTAGCTGCGTATAGGGCCAATTACTAGCACCTTCTGGCAGATGGATGCCGTTAAGTGACGTTCCATTTGAGCTTCCTAGATCGACGACGCGCCAACTCCTATCAGCTGCGTCCCACGACACACACGCGTGTTTCTCAGAAACCTGGAAGGGAGAAACCAGTTGCCGAACAAAAACTACATTAGAAAGGTTCGCTTGGTCTGAAAGCTGCTGAGGCGGCTGGTCTTGCACAGGCAATGCTTACGGAATCTTCCTTCAGCGGAATCTGGCAGGTCTTAACTCGGCCCACTCTAGAACTGCTAGCAGTTACAGCAATGGTGGCGGGGCAGCAAGGGCCTCCCACCACTTCCAGCACCAAGAGGTCACGGCCATCCGCCGCTGAGCCTCGCTTCGCCTGCGCAGCCTTGCCCCTGCCTCCTGCCATGATAACTTCGCAAGGAAATTATAAACTACAGTAAATTCCACACAGAGGAGTTGTTTGGAAGTGCACGAGAGCTGTGGCCGAAACTGTCTATGGGAGGTGGTTCTGTAGGAGCTGATGGGTCTTGCCAATGACACTTCGGTTGGAGGGAAGCATGACGAAGCGAGAAAAGCTTGAAGCGGAGATGGTTGCGATAAGTGCAATGGTGTACAATAGTGACACTAGATCAGAATATGGCGAGTCATATACAAAGAGAATATTACGGTAAAACCCGAGGTCAGGTTTCAAAAGTAGGAAGGTTGTTTGAGGCGAGATAAGGGATTGGCCTGCGGAACAGGCTGGCGCCAGAATCGTTCGACGTGGGTCGCGGAATGAAATTCTCTCGCAAAAAGTTACCAAGCGTGGGATGCATCATGCAACTCTGGAAATCCTTCTCACTACAATTCGTAGGTAAAGGATGGAATTGTGCAACCCTTAGCGCAGCAGCAATCTTCTTTGCCAGTTCAATCACTTCGAGAAATGAAGCTACCAAGATGGTTTGTGAAGTAATTAGCTATCTACTTGGTGACACCCAACCAATGGTAGGAAGGATGGGGCGATTTGGGGAAACTTGAGATTCCAGTTTTAACAAAAAAAAAATGTTAAGCAAGCAAAGTACATAGCATCTAAATATTGTTAGTGTGCATTAGCTATGAGACCTTTTTCTTTTCTTTTTTGGGAACAGGCTCGGTTCTAGAATCATGTGGGTGTACATTACATCCACCCACATATCTGGTATGCCTGGCAAGCACCAATGCGTGCAGTCCCCAGAAAAGGGCGACTCTCGTTGCCCCTGGGGAGAGTTTGGTCCAGACTGGTCTCGTCTTTGCCACCATACCCCTAGGTGTGCATCCGGCCGCAATGCACTTATGCTAGTGACATCCAGGAAGCGAAAAGGTGATCCCAAGAACAGACTCTTTTGTGCAGCCGCATATTCTTCTGCAGTGCTCAAGGAATCAGAGTACCTTGAGTGCACAAAGGTACGTGAGGCAGGCATGCGAGCACCACAAGCACCCACCCATGCGGCTCCATCACTCTGCTCAACCCCAGGTTGTGTTTGACCAGCGCCTGCATGCTTTGGGGAGAAGGAGAGGAAGAAGGGGACTCCCGAGTAGTCTATCTTCTTGACGAATGAGAGAACTGTGGACAGGGCCCATGTGTGTGCAGCGATGTTACTCAGGTTTCGCTGTGCCCCGTTTGCGTAAAAGTTATTCGGGACCGTGCGACGAGGAACGTTCTGCAGCCACCACACCCCCGAGTGGAAGACGACAGCACTGTAGCTTGCCAGCACGCGCTCCAGCACAGGGTCCATCTCATCCACGTACACGTCAAACCCATGCCCGCCCTTGATGGCGTCTTTCCCCGTGGCTTTGTTGTGGATGGAGCGGCGACTGGTGCGCACAATGTAGGGCGAGAAGTAGTACTCGAGAGAGAAGGAGAAGGCCGGGAAGTGGACTCCCTTGATGCTAAAGTCGCCTTTCGTTTTCCGCCTAAAGGGCTGCCAGTCAAGGGTGTTTGGAGAAAGGTAGCAGACAGAAAGGAAGGCGAAGTTCAAGACCCTGCTGTTCACGACTCGACCCTTGTAAACCTTCATATTCGGTGGACGTGCACACTCCATCGCGTCCATCGTCATGCTTCAAGTCAACGTCGACCGCAAGTGATACATGAGAGAGAGCATGCGATCTCAATGCTGGGCAACGCTGACATCAACAGCACTGTGCGGGCCATGGCGCCGTACCTGTCCCTCGTAGCCCGCGCTGCTGATGGAGCAGAGCAGTGCCTCGAAGAGGTTCGACATCATAGAGTCGCCCACCAGTAGCATGCGCTGCCACGAGAACGGGACGGGGGGAGGAGGGGGGGAGATGCACGTGGGGTGAACATGGTGCGTGCTTGACAAGGGACAAGCTACCTACTGCAGGTAACGAGTGGGGATGCGCCTGGAGCCGCACAGGATGCACGGGATGCTACAGGTGACGTGCGCATAGGGGTTGAGGTGGTGAAATCACTCTTTTCGTTCCAAGCCAAGCGGACACTCCAACGTGTAGCGGAAGGAGATCATTCGTTTATTAGCCCAGGGGAATGGAGTCCGCGGCGGGGCGGTCCAGCTTACCCGGTCGCGCATGAGGAAGCGGAAGCCGGACACGGAGAAGTAGCTGATGGGGCAGTCGAACGGCTGCCACCGGTACTCGCGGTACCGCAGGTCGGGACGATTGTTACGCTCGCACGCATACGACGAACGCGCGAACGGACACGATTTCGGGCGGCCGGCGACAGTGGTGTAGCGCGGGAAGCGTTTAGGCGAGCGTATCCACGCGCCGTTGGACAGGTCGCAGAGGTCTGCGGCACGGATGCAGGGGAAGGGGGAGATGATGGAACGGCTTAGCTGGCGAGCGACGAGAAAAGAGACTGATTAAGGACGTCCGAGGTGGAGTGCTCTGAATAGACACGGCTCGCCTCTCGCCTAGGTTAGACATGTCAAGAGGGGCCCTCTTCAGGCGGTCACTCTGCTAGGTGAACGTCTGCGCTGCTGCCAGCCGCTAAAACAGCTTTCCCGTATGATCCATGCTGCACACGTTGTCGCGTCGAGCCTCGACAAGGTACTAAGGTGGTGCGAGGCTTGGAGTGCTCACCTCGCTTGGGCTTCGGAGCAAGCGACGTGACGGTCGGAACGAGCAGACATAGAAGCAGAACGACGGAGCATGGCGTTGAATAGGGTAGAAAAGAGTTGCGGTATGGAGTATGCAGTCGCGGCCGGTACGAGGTGGCCATGGGAGAAATACATGAATTGATGGCCTGAAGAACGAGCCTCGCTACTCCAAGTCGGTGCTATTTGTGGAGGAATAGAAAGGCTGTTAGGTGATGGGGAGAAACTCGACTGAATGCGAAAGAATGCACTGTTAGTTGCTCGTTGCACTGCTTCTTGATGTCATAACAAGTCACTTTCGAACACGTTTGGTCGTCGCTGAGCCAATGACGTTGGAGGCAACGCTTTATAATTGGGGAATTACGGTCGTAGAACATCGCAAAGAGGTGGCTTGCCAGGAGGCTGGTTGATCGGAACAGCCAGGGTCTCGTTCTGTTGGCGCACGATCCATTCACGACTGCCGCGCAGGTACTGCGGGCTGCGTTTTCCGAAGGTAGAAAGGGCCTGCAACCTCGACGAAGGGTCTCGTAACTGACAAAATAACAAACTTCCTTTTCCCGTGTGCCCGAATATATATTGCTACACACTGCCCTGGCAATCTTCCAAAGTCAAAATTTCGCAAACTGATGGTCTGGATGTGGCAGTCTTACTGGTCAGCCGTTGGATTGTTTTTTGGGTAAGTAATCTACCGAAAAAATACCCCAAAACAGGTGTTGATATCTGCCCGTAATTGGTTGTGCGCCACTTCATTCCCCTCTCGACGAGCGCATAGGGCCCGCACAGGCCATGCGAAATTTTGCCTGTGGAGCAAAGCTCGTGGAATTTCCCCAGCGCACAAAGAGTTCAGTGTTTTTGTGCACGCATGAGTGATGCGCGCACAACTTCCGCACCAGAGGTTCGTTACACAACACGGTTTGGAAGGCTCGACAAGGGCTTTAAGCGTTGTGAAACCCGTTCCTAGAATGTTCATCCATCGCTAGGGCTGAGCACCCCAATGCACCAATAGAACGAGGCCCAGGAATGCCAAGACGGTAGATCAGCAGCACACCCGTGCCCAGGAAAGGACAGGCGGCAGCAGCACCAGCCAGCTAGACGGTTGGCCAGGCAAGGGAGGCGACGCGACGCGTGTGTCGCTCTTCCAATTCGCGCTGGGGTGACACGAGTTGAATGTGTTTGCGCGGGATGATGGTGAGGTGAGAGGTGTGAGAGGATGCGAGTTGAGTTGAGGGGAGGGGAGTTGATGGGATCATGGACAGCGGAATGCTCTTCCCGAGTCGCGATGCGCTCCATCAAAACGGACGTGCCTCGCTGCGCACAGTCAACATTCAAGTGGTTGTTCCTCGAATTGACAGCTTTAGGCGCAATAATACCACCACAAAAAAAGAGACGCACATTTAAACAAACAGATTGGATAGAGCGTCTTATACTGAAAGAACAATAAAACAACGGAAAATAAATACAATGGATATACACAGTTACGACTGTTATTGCTTATGTATGCTTGTCCATTCGGCCTACATATCAATTACCATTTAAAAAAAATACAATGGATATACGTCTGCAAAAGAAACCGACTAGGTGGCCATATTTCGTTACCAATGGATTAGATTATACCTAAAAGCTTTGGCAATTTTTGATACCTCCCATTCTTAAAATAGTTTTACTCAATTACAATGTGACAAATAGTATATTCCTAACCTCGTATCAAGCGAACCTCATATCAAACTCACACTGAAAATTCCCCTAAACCCGAAACCTCTCGCTAGTTTTACTTGGCAGAAGGTACAATCTTGATATGAGGTGCCCGATATGAGGTTGTATTAATCCGCTCCAAGATAGATAAGCGCGATACAAACACATTGTCATGCTGTTATCCATCAAAGAGCTCATCTGAACAGATCATTGAGAAAGCTTGCTTTCTTTCTTATCAATTGGCATCGTTCTCATTACAAATGGCGTATTACAACATTTGCATCATCGTTCGACATAAGCTAGTGCGGACTAATAACACTAGCTATTATGTACCCTATCCAAGTGGCATTAGCAAGGCGGTTTACACTGGGGTGGGTGGTGGGAATGTTGAGTGAGCCGTTTGAAAATTGAGAAACGTGGGTGGAGGGAAATGAGCTCCAACCCACGGTTTTTTTAGTTGGAGAAGGGCGTTTAGCGCGCTTCGACGATGCCAATTGTGCAGTACAAGCAGCTTCGCTTTCACAATACACAATTTTAAAAAACACTACATGTGTGTTTAAAAATTATAATATTTTGAAACAACCTGGTGATGAGTCCAACTTTGTTTTCTTCTTATCTCCTTGATGCACCAACATCAGAAATGGGAGCAGTACAATGTCACTTATCATTGTTTAGCTAGCATGGCTGGAATAATGTAAGGAATTTTCTCGATATTCCTTAGCGCGCTCTGCAACATCACGTACAGCAGCAGCCGTTGTTCGCCCGTTACTGCTAACGGGGCTTCGACGACTTCGCGCACACAATTTCACCAAACCTCGCACTGCTGGCTTGGCCGTGTCGGCCTACGATTCGGGACTAGCCCGAGCCTCGCTTCCAGCATAGCACTAGCTAGCTCGCACGCACCGCGTTACCGTTTGCATGTTTCGCGTATAAATGTTCGCTCATGCCTTCGCTCACATTTTGTACTCGTTTGACACCTAAGTGCAATTCTCCCTACTTCGATTCATTGCACCCGTAACACTTGGTCATCAGAGCCTCTTTCTTTTCAGACCGCGCATCTCCGCACCCCAGTAAATCAACTTTTGTTTTTTCACTCGAAAGGACTCACGCACCTTAGCACCTAGGATGAGAAGAATACAACAAGAATGAATGAACTATGAATGAAGTGAGTACATATAGGAAACCCTAATTGGGTTGTACCCCCTTATGGGATACCCCACTATAGCCTACACAACAGCATAAGCTATATAACGTTCTGACACACCCCCATAGGCAAAGTGGGGGAGAACAAGGGGTCACAAGACCAGTCAAGCAAAACAGAGCAAGCTCAGGGTGGATCACAAAGTCACCACACAGTCCGAGCACAACGACAAGGCCACAAGGCCAGTTCACATGCAGGAGTACACACATATATATATAGAGAGCTAGACAAGCAAGAGCAGGTATATATATGTGACAGTACAAGCAAGGTCAAGAGGAGAGCAAGTGAGGCAAGACAGGTACAAGACCCAGCTGAGTGCAGAAGCGCTGATGGTCACAAGGCGCGAGTGCCTTGGTGAACACGTCAGCAGTGTTGGCCTGAGAGGCCACGTACGCAAGCCGCAACTGTCCACGTTGCTGTAGCTCACGAGCAAGGAAGTAGCGGAGAGCAATGTGCTTCGTTCTGAGTAATTTGCTGTCCCGGCATAGATCTCAGCCTCACAACTGGAGCTGAGGACAGAAGACGAGCGAGTAGCCCGCCACGAGACAGAGCCAGAACCAAGACTGAAGGTGTAACCCTGTGACGACCGCTGCGTAGCCTGGTCGTCAGCCCAAGAAGCGTCCGCGTGCCCCGTAAGGACCACTGGACTCCGCCCTCCAAGCACTAGCCCCATGCCCGACGTACTGCACAGGTAGCGCAACACCCTCTTCGCTGCAGCCATGTGCTCTGGTCGGTGTCTCCCAGGAGCAACATAGTGTGCAAGAATGCTAAGACGGTATGCAAGGTCAGGTCGTGTGCAGGTCATCAGGTACATGAGGCAGCCAACAAGCTCTGGGTACGGGCCACTCGACTCTACGGGCTCATCCGAAGGCAGAGCTGAGAGCGAGTGGCGAGTAGACAGAGGAGTGGCCTGAGGCGAGGAGTACGTGAAGCCGAAGCGCTGAAGGACCTGCTGCACCATGTGTGATTGAGTAAAGGTAACGGTGCGGCGTGCTCTGTCCCGAGTGATCTGCAAGCCAAGATAGCTGCGCAGTTCACCCCGGTCTGTGCACGTGTGTCTCTTCAGCAGCTCGGACTTCACGTAGGCGAGTCCAGCAGTGTCCGCTGTGGAAAAGACCAAGTCGTCGACGTACACGAGGATGTAGAACGGCGGCAGAGAAGTGTCGGTGCGCAGAAACAGCGAAGGGTCAGCAGTAGAGGGAGCAAACCCAAGAGCCGCAAGCGTAGTCCTCAGTGTGTCGTGCCACTCACGCGGTGCCTGGCGGAGACCGTAGACTGGCCGTCGGAGGCTCCACTGGGTGCAAGGAGGGAAAGTCCGAGTGAAGCCAGGTGGACGGCGCAGCCAGATCTCCTCGTGCAGGCTACCCTGCAAGAAAGCAGTGCTGAAGTCAAGAGAGTGAAGCTCGTAGTCGCGCTGAGCGGCTATGTGCAGCAGCACCCGAAGAGTGGTCATCTTCGGGGTGGGAGAGAAGGTCTGAAAGTAGTCAACTCCCTGCCGCTGACTGAAGCCACGAGCGACATACCGCGCCTTGAAGACAGGTGAAGAGCCCGGCGGCCGCTTCACCCTGAAGATCCACATGCCACTGACGACGTTCGCCCCAGGAGGGGGAACTGCGTCAACATAGGTGCCTGTGGACTTCCAGGAAGCCATCTCTGCATCCATAGCTGCCTGCCACTGAGAGGAGTAGGGACCCTCTACGGCCTCCGCGTAAGAGCGCGGAGTCGGGATGTCTAGTGCATCCGGGTCTCCCTCAGGGGCAAGCAGTACAGACGCGAGATGAGGTGAAGCAGTAGCCAGACACTGGAACTCCTCCTGCCTGTCCTCAAGGACGTCCGTGCCAAGAGCACACTCACCCCCGACGGACGGAGGACAGACAGACGCAGACTCAGCAACTAGACTGGCAGCGTACTCTAGACGACAGCGAGCAGCAAAGTCGACGAGCTCAGCAACAAGCGCAGACGCAGCAGCGGACTCAAACGAGGGGTCAGTGACGACAGTAGCAAGAAGACGCATGACAGTAGGACTGGCAGCGCGAAGAGAGTCCGACTCCGGGTCGGTAAGCGCAGGAAGAGAGGACGCAGGAGGAGAAGGCAAAGGGGCACGCAGAGGAGCAGTGGACAGACGCAGAGACATCCAGTGCGTGCCAGGGACAGGAGGAGGACGCTGACGCGAACCGCGACCACTAGTGCAAGCAGCACGAACAGGCGACGCGGGACGAGATGCAGGCTCAC